TCTGAACGAGGTAGTCATGCCTCCACCACCATCGATGGCTGATAGTTTTTGTCAATTCCAGGACCTTGCAAAGAAGGTGGTGGATCCTCCAGATACCTCTCGAGAAGAAGACTCACATCACAAGCTCCAGGATATTTTGCATTTAGCGATACCTATCTAGGTCTGGCTACCCATTGACGATGCACTCCTGGATCCAGCAAAGACTGTGGAAAACTCCTGTCACCATACCACCAATCTATAAATGGGCAGATAAGAAATGTTACATTCCCCCCAGGGACTCAGAATTTTTATTTTTCTGTCTCCCTACAAACAAGAAGATTTAGCAGGTCTCAAACTGCACAGAGATTGCACCTGGCTCAGTTCTCTGGTTTTCACAGAATCACTGAACCGACTAGAAAAAGACAGGGATTCCAGAGGAAAAGATCTTCCCACTCTCCTTCAGCTAGTGCTCAATCATAATCGAAACAGCGATTTTGATAGATGGGTCGAGGGCTCAATTCCCCTCTCACCTCTTGTCAGGTGCAAACCTTTGCCTACCACCCCACTTTCGGAGACCACCTTTCCCATTTCCATTAGGCCTGGCAGCATATTACGACAAGTGGGTCATGGAGGTTATAACATTGGGCTACACCATCCACTTTCTGTCCCTCCCAACCTCCCCATTCCCTCCCTCTTCAGGGATCCATCTCATGAGACTATACGGAGTCAAGAACTACACTCCTTCCTTTGTTTAAGAGCAGTAGAATCTGTCCCATCCCCTGACAGGGGGAAAGGGTTTTACTCAAAGTATTTTCTCTTGATAAAAAGATCCAAGACGACTGAACAATTTTGTAAAGTCTAAAAAGTTTTGTATGGTGACTGTGGTGGCTATAATCCCCTCTTTAGCAGCAGAAGACTGGCTTTCAGTCGACCTACAGGACACCATATAGCAATACATCCCCCACACAGGAGATACCTGCACTTGACCATGGGCCAGGATTATATTCAGTGGCCCCAGGGGTGTTCTCGAAGGTTTTAGTGGTAACAGGTGTTTACCTTTGGCAAGAAGCAATTTTAGTCTTCCCGTATATTGATGACTGACTACTGAAGGGCGGATTTGACAAAGCAGTACTAATCAGACAGCACTGTTCGTTTTCCAGGAGTTGGGTCTCCAGCTAAGCGTAAAGAAGTCAAAGTTAGCCCCTGTACAGAGAATACGATCCATAGGGGCATATTTGGATTTGCTAGCAGCCAGATCCTTCCTTCCTACAGACAAACTCATAACTTTATCTAGTCTGGTTGGGACAATTCACAGAAGCCCCCATACTACAGTAAGAAACTGTTTGCATCTTCTGGGTCATAGGGTAACATGCACCTTCATGATTAAGCATGCAAGATTATGCCTCTGCTGCTTTCATGTCTGGTTCAGGAGGACCTCTTTGTCAACCAGAGACAGCATGGACAACAGGTTACGGTTCCTCTCCTGGTAAAGATGTCCCTGGATTGGTGGAAAGATCAATGCAATGTCTGCATGGGCTTCCCTCTCATCTGCCCAACTCCAACAATAACTCTGACAATAGATGCATCACTGTTAGCGTGGGGAGCATGCCTCAATGCACACACAACTCAGGGCAGATGGTTTCCTCAGGAAACCGGTCTCTACATCAACTTGTTGGAACTCAAGGCAGTCAAGAATGCCTGCCTTCAGCTCCGACCCCTCATTTTGTGCAACTCATTCAAAATCATGATAATATACAAAGTAGCTCGCATGATCTGTGTCAACAAACGGAGGAACACGATCTCCCCTCCCTGTGTGCCGAAGCTATAAAGTTATGGAACTGTTGTATAGCCCATCGGATTGAAATCTCAGCCTTTTACCTTTCTGGAGTCCAGAATGTCACAGCTGATAATATGCTCAGCAGGTGCTTCTCCTGGGACTATGAATGGGAGTTGGACTCGCAAATCCTTCATGGTATATTACAGAGGTGGGACTTCCACAGGTGAAACTATTTGCAACATCAAGTAACAGGAAATACTACTTATTCTGCTCAAGAAGAGGCTTAGGTCATCTCTCTTTCACAGATTCCTTTCTCCTTCCTTGAACAAAGGGTCTGTTCTATGCAGTCCCTTCACCACCACTAATTCTAGGAATGATGAACAAGATAGGGCAGGACAAGGCCAGGATTATACTTGTTGTACCGACCTGGCCACGGCAAGCTTGGTATCCTTACCTGCTTCACCTTTGTCCAACCGGTGCTCAAGCTTCCTACCATTTCCCATGTCCGCTCCCAGGATGCAGGTCCTGTGCAGCACTCCAAGATGGGGGTCCTCCATCACCAAGCATTGCTCTTAGATGATTCGCAGGATTAGAATCCATCTGCTCGACAGGAGTACAAGTTTTACTAAACAGTAGGAGGGAATCGACTTGAATTACTTACCTTCAGAAATGGAAGAGGTTCCACTACTGGTGTCACTGTCATCACCTTGTTTCTGAATTTTCTCTGTTCTTAGCCATCTTGAATTATCTACTAGACTTTTTAAAATGGGGTTCATTGATTAGCTCTGTTAAGTTTCGTCTTGTCACAATATCAGCTTTTTCTAATTTTTGCGCACCCTATATCTTTGAGATTTATTAAGGACCTGGGGAATTTTACACCCGCTTTCCCTCCCCCCCCCAGGTTAAGAATGTTAATCCCACTTTGGCTCTCAAACTGGTACTTAGATGCCTTATGGGACTTCCTTTTGAACCTATGGCAATCAGCTTGCTGCTTCACTTATCTATATAGGCAACCTTTCTAGTAGCTATCATGTCAGCCTGCAGGGCTGGAGTAATTGAAGCTTGGATGGCAGACCCATTATTTACAGTATTTTTCCAGGACAAAGTCTCGCTACAACCACTCCCAAAGTTCTTATCTAAGGTGCAGTCAGATTTCCAACTTAACTAGTCTATTCATTTACCAGTCCCCCTCACCCCACCCCAACCCACATAAATCTCAGTGGGAGACTTCCCTTAATACATTAGATGCAGGATGAGCATTGGCCTTTTATCTGGATAGGACTGAGCAATTTCAGAAGTCACCTAGACACTCTGTCTACATCACAGAAAAATCAGAGGGGTCCACGATCTCGTCACAGAGCCTGTCAAGATGGATCCCTGAGTGTATTACTGTTTGCTCTAATGCAGCTGGTGCTTTGCTCCAAAGGATTGTAGCACACTCTACCAGATCACAAGCAACTTCCACAGCATTGCTCAAAAACATTCCGGTTTTTGAGATATGCAGAGCTGCTACATGGGATTCAGTGCATATCATTTCTAAACAGTATGCCTTGCTCCACACAGTCAGAGCTCATCCAGCACTTGTTGTACTGTCTTCAGTCTTGGACTTGATTCCAAAGCTCCCCGCTCCCTGTGAGGAGTCTCCTGAAGTGGAGCACCCATAGGGACACTACTCGTTGAAGAAAAGGTTATTCACCCTGTGCAGTAACTGGGGTTCTTTGAGAGGTGTCCCAAAGGGTGCTCCACTACCCAGCCTCCTTCCCTTCTGCTTCAGACTGTTCTTGATGGACGTTCAGATAGAGAAGGAACTGAGAGGGCTGATTCATCAGAGCACCCCTAAATACCCTCAGAGCATGGCATGAGGTTATATAGAGGACATACGCAGCCCGAACAGACACTGCTTGTGGAAAATCTCCAGTCAAGGGCTCGAGAGGTGCATGCACACCTGAAGTGGAGCACCCATAATGGGGGACATCTCGAAGTTGTTGTTTTTTTTTTTAAGTGACATTCAAATAGCCAAGTGTGTTGAACTGAAGGTAGGAAGGACATCTATAAACTGAGCATCTTTCGTTTCACTTAGTCTTTTATCGCTAAAAAGTGTAATATTCTCAGAAAATGTTCACAGAACTCCCACTGTAGCTAATGGAGGCCATGTGCTCACATCAAGAGAAGAGTACACCCCAAAGTCACATTTATCTGAAACAATTAGCTTTGAGGGTCTTTGGATTTGTGCAGAAATTGAGGGTTAAGAAAGATTTTTCGCTATGCAAGACAGTGTTATAGTATTCCTTTTGATCCCATGAAAGTGCCCTCTAATTGGTCTTCGACTGGGAATATGTAATAAGTCTGCTGGGTTCTTTCACTGATATGACACACCACACATCTTGCCAAAGCAGCTACCAATGCATGTGCATTGACTGATTGAAAGGTAGAAATTGAACTCTAAGAAAATAAGAATCCTTCCATTACTTGGCATCTTTTGAGTCAAAAGTAAATGTCCTTCTAAAATATAAATGCTGTAGTGCAAGTACAAGTTTTTGGGCTAGATACAGGAATCTAAGCATGAAATCTTTGCCCTATGTTATGTAGAAGGTCAGACTACATGATCATAATGGTCCCTTCTGGGCTTTAAATTTGCAAAACTCTGATAGAGCATCATCATGTTTAACTGAACATAGTGACTATAGTTGGTTCCAGTTTTTTTTTTTTTTTTTTTTTTTTTAATAATTCTCCCTGTCTTACATTGTTGCTGAGAGTTAGAGGACATGGAAGTTAAAGAACAAGTAGTCAAGACTTTCAAACAAAATCTGTGTTGTTTTAATGAAACATTCAATAGTATTTCATTTATGTATTGAGCAGTAGGAAATAAAAATCCCATGATTTACGACACAATAGGCTCAATTGCATGCTTAGTTTTTTGATGCGTGACTTGTTCATGAGACTGGTGAGACTTTTGTGTCTAAATGAAATCTATAGAAAATTCAATAGTCCTCAGAACTTTTGCCAAAACAACCTTCTATTTTTCTGCTGTCCTAGTAAATAGCTCACATAGAAGACACACGTACATCAACATTCCAACTTTAGCTAGGGCATAACAGGTATTGTGGCAATAACGCAATCTTGTTGAAATTCATTGTACAAATATTCTTAATTCAAATAAAAAGATGTAAGTTTTGATATCCTTGTTTCAGTTGACACCAGTAGAGATACTGATAAATCTTTTCTCTTTCTTTTGTTTTGTTAGGATAACACCTACACCGCTTGGAGAGGGGAAGAGCACTGTCACGATTGGTCTTGTTCAAGCTCTAACTGCACATCTTAATGTGAATTCCTTTGCTTGTCTGAGACAACCTTCCCAGGGACCTACTTTTGGAGTTAAAGGTACTTAGTGTTTGCAAAACTTACTTCCTTTTTCATATCAAAAGGAAATATTGCATTTGGGTTTAGTTTGTTTTCAGCTTCTTAGTTGTTTTATTGAAGTGTAGTTTGGCCAGACGGTGTCAGTTTTCCTGACTAGCATGACAAGTGCACAGTCCTGCACTTAGGACGGAAGAATCCCATGCACTGTTACAGACTAGGGACGGAATGGCTAGGAAGCAGTTCTGCAGAAAAGGACCTAGGGGTTACAGTGGACGAGAAGGTGGATATGAGTCAACAGTGTGCCCTTGTTGCCAAGAAGGCTAACGGCATTTTGGGCTGTATAAGTAGGGGCATTGCCAGCAGATCGTGGAACGTGATCATTCCCCTTTATTCGACATTGGTGAGGCCTCATCTGGAGTACTGTGTCCAGTTTTAGGCCCCACACTTCAAGAAGGATGTGGAAAAATTAGAAAGAGTCCAGCGGAGGGCAACAAAAATGATTAGGGGGATGGAGCACATGACTTATGAGGAGAGGCTGAGGGAACTGGGATTGTTTAGTCTGCAGAAGAGAAGAATGAGGGGGGATTTGATAGCTGCTTTCAACTACCTGAAAGGGGGTTCCAAAGAAGATGGATCTAGACTGTTCTCAGTGGTACCAGATGACAGAACAAGGAGTAATGGTCTCAAGTTGCAGTGGGGGAGGTTTAGGTTGGATATTAGGAAAAACTTTTTCACTAGGAGGGTGGTGAAGCACTGGAATGGGTTACCTAGGGAGGTGGTGGAATCTCCTTCCTTAGAGGTTTTTAAGGTCAAGCTTGACAAAGCCCTGGCTGGGATGATTTAATTGGGGATTGGTCCTGCTTTGAGCAGGGGGTTGTACGAGATGACCTCCTGAGGTCCCTTCCAACCCTGATATTCTATGATTCTAGTTCAATATTGTCTCCTGCATTATGTTTCCTAGCGTTTTGTATATATAGCTTCTTCCCATTCAAGACTCGTTATTACAAGAGGCAAGGAGAAGGATTGAATGTTCTAACAAGTTTTTACCATCTCTAACTTGTAGGGCTTCTACGTTTGTTTAAATTACTGTGTAAACAAGTGCAACAGTGCTGCAAAACGTCGATGGTAGTCTGAGATGTTCATCGAGTAAAGTGATGAAAACAGCCATTCAGAGTCAGGATTTAATTCCTTCTTTGGTGCATGCTGTGTCTTCTTCAGGTTTAGTAATTAAATTAATTAACCTTGAGGGAGAATCTTTAAAGTATCCAATTTCATTTGAAATAGCAAAGTCATGAAAGTTGACACATCCTGCTTCAGGTTCGCTTACAAGTCTGTGCAGACATGTGGAAATTTCATGTTTTGCCAGATTTTGCTTTACAAGGTTGGTAGCATTCATCACTGAGATCACTGTCTAACTGCTGATGGCTTTTATTATTAATACACTTTTTTGGTTCCAGTGTTTGAGTGATTTCTGTAATAGAAATTAAAATATTGATTATGTTTAAGTATAAAAGCTGTGTGCTTTATTTCTTGTGTGTTTAAGGATTATTTCAGAATTGGTGTGATTCTGACATGACCATGTGCTTAATTGCTCAGGTGGGGCTGCTGGAGGTGGATATGCTCAAGTCATTCCAATGGAAGAGGTAAGACAAAAGATGGAAAAAAGACCATTACCAGCTGCTCCCCTGTGCTCTCAGGGTAAGGCGTGTGCGCAGGCAGCCAACTCTGGACATGATCCAGAAAAGCACTTAAAGCATATGTTTATGTCAGAGGGTAAAGTGGGATAGAGGGATTGCCTCCCTCATCCAATCACTGAGAGTTCAGGCTCTCCATCAGAGTTATGGAGAAGGCTGGCTTTCATGGTCTTCTACTAGGGTGTGAATAGAATTTTCCAATTGTAACAATGGGCAGCTGCTTCAATTCTAGAGCCGTGGTTATAGACCCAGTCAAAAAACAAACTCTGAATTACCTAAAGAATAAATATGAAGTGTAGAAAAAATGCCGATAGACTGTGGGTGTTAAAGCATGTTGCATGAAGTCCCAGCTATTATTCAAACACTACCCAATTTCTGGTGTACTGAAGAAAGTCTGCTAGCTGTGAGTAAGGTACAAGGAGAAACAATAGTATCTGACTTGCTGTTGTTAAGTGTTCTTTGTCTATATATCTCTGTTACAAAAGGTCTGAATACCTATTTCTTTTTTGCAGATGAGGGCAGGAACAGAGAGGCCCAGTAGTTTCAAAAAATGATTTAATTTTAAATACAGATTTCTTATTTATTTGGAGCAAAAGTCCTTCCACTAACGGTAGCCAAATTACATTATGTTCAACCAGATTGGCGAGTCTCTAATAATGATACCTTACTGTAACTGTTTTGAGAAAATGTCGCAAAAGTTAGGAGCTTTTGATGAACATCAGGAAAATAAAAGGGAAATTAATTTGATTCCAAAATAGTGATGCACGTGTGGGTGGGTCTCTCATATTAAAATGTCCCCCTCACAAAACGAAAGGATTTTTTTTTCTGCGTCTGGTTGAATTCATCCAGCTAGCAACTTTAAATTAATCTCTGCCAAAGATGACTTTATCCCTGGGCCTCAAATACTTCTGAAGAACATATGCTAGCCTTTGAAATAGACCAGATTGCTCCATGTGTGGAGTACTTTCAAAATATTTTCACTGGGGAAGATACTACCAGTCTAAGGTCTTTACTCTTCCTCAAATAATGCACCTTGGGCAGTGTGGTGTATTATGAATACACTTAGTGTATTTTTTCAGGAGCAAAATATAAATGTTTCATAAGCAGAGTGGCTAGATTGAGGGGGTGGATGAGGATCATCACATACATACACATGTCCCCCTACTGCTATCCATCCCATGTCACTATTAAACAGTTAAGGTCTCTGCACCAAAGATTTGTCTTTATATGGGTTTGTACCGCTCTAGCACAGTACAGGCCAGATTCTGATTGGGACCTCTGGGCACTACTTTTATATAAATATTAAATTTATGTTTCCAGCAAAGTCCAGCTCTCTCCCTCATATCCAACAAGTGCACTTGTTCACCAAGTATTTTTCCATCTTCTTCATGGTTATGAACCAGGTTTTGTTCAAATGAGAAAAGCAGTGAAACAGATTCTTTGGCCACTTCCATTCTTACTGAATGCGTGCAACCCCTTTTATGTGAGTTTATCATTAAGTAAAAGAGAACAGTTTTATAGGAGCGTCTTGTTAAAATATTTGCAGCACATCATTGTACTAAAAATTCTGAATCCTTTAGGGTGAAGATGGGTGATGACTTAATCATTCTGTAAAACACCAGAGATTTTACTCTATGATTTTGGATACATCTTTGAAGTGTAAGACTGACAATTCAAAGAAAAGGTTCCATTAGCTCATTTCATATCAGTAAATCATAATTTTTATAATTTCCTTGGAACATCTTTCTTTCTCCATGCTAAATAAATAAAATCAGCACATCTTCCCTTTCCCCCACCACATGCTTTAACTTTCCTGTAAAATTTGAGTGAATGTTTCTCTTGAAATCAACGAAGTGTGGAAGGAAATGAAACTTGAAAATTTTCAGCCAGTCAAAAGCTGATGATGATCTGATTCCAAGTTTTGATACTCCATTACATTTGACTTTGAATTTAAAAGTGCATGTGTCAGAGTTGTGGTCAGCGCATTAGATTCCATTCTTGGGTCATTTGGGTGAAGACAAATGACATCTGTGTTTTGTTTTTGTCTTGTTAACTGTAGTCTATCAGACACTGAGCTGAGACCAAGTAAATTCATTTGGCCTGTTACATTTTCAGTCTGTCTAATCATAATATTTCAGCAACACTGCTAAGTGGCTGATCTGATCTGTAATCCCAAAACTGAACAAGCAGTGATTGCTTTCATTAATCTGTACTAAATTAGTGGAGTGTGTTTAAATAAATTCTTGTATTTCATCTTCAATCTGTAGTTCAACCTTCATTTGACTGGAGATATCCATGCTATTACTGCTGCTAATAATTTGCTGGCTGCTGCTGTTGATGCAAGGATCTTGCATGAAAGCACTCAGTCTGATAAGGTGAGGTTTACCTGTACGATTTCCATCCATGGCTTTCTTTTGAAGTTTCCTGTAAACAGCTACGTAAATATTTTTTGATGATTATATCATTTTATAGTTCTTGTTTTGTCTCCAGCATTCTGTTCAGGGTGCTTTGAGAGCCATGGCTCTCTGCCAAACCCTTTCTTTTTGGACAGTATGTTTATTTACTGTATAGTCATATCATGTTTTTGAGACAAGAAATGATAGATAAGTGACACTGTTAGGTATTGATCCTAAGGTGTGCACTGGAGGGCTTTTACTGGGAAATAAGCTACCATATACCTTTTCTCTAGCCCCTAATGAACTTATTGTGAACTCCGCTTAATTGTTAACATGGGTTTTCAGAGCAACAGGGTATGGGAAAGAGATTCTTCTTTGTTTGTGGATCTTCTATTGTAACAGGAGAGCACAGCCTTATCCCCTTAATTTGCTGATAGTTATTGCTTCATTGACATGACAGACTTCTGAATCTAGATAAGTGCACTTAAATCTCTTTACAGGTACTGATTACAAAATGGATTATTTCAGACCTTGATTAAAATTTTCAAAAGCACCTAAGTCCCATTTCCAAAAGTAATGTAGGCATTTAGGAACCTAAGTCTCATTGAAAGTTAATGTGACTTGGGTGTTGAAGGGCCTAAATCACCTTTGAAAATGTAGCTTAGGCACTTTAGTCACTTATTTTCTTTTGAAAATTTGCTTGCTAGTCAGGATTTCTTTTTAATTGGTTAAATGTAAGTATACACTAACAATTTACATTGGTTCAAAAAATTTTATGAGATTATAATCTAAATGATTTGAATCAAGTTAGACTTTTATTGTATTTGTGTATTTTAGTTGTAACATTTTCTCTTGTGTGTGGGTTTTTTTAGGCTTTGTATAATAGGCTGGTTCCAGTAGTTAATGGTGTGAGAGAATTTTCTTCTATTCAGCTTGCCCGCTTGAAAGTAAGTTGCTAATGTATTTTCCCTGTTTTTTCCCCCAAGTATAATATATCTTATAAAATGGGCTATTTAAAATTATTTTTAACAAGTTACAGGGAGATTTGTAGCTGAAAGTGCCTTAATGTGGTGCACTCTTTCCTCGAGAATTTGGCTTTCCTTAAGGATTTAACAGGCTTTCTGGCAGCTTCCTGTTTTGCTGTTACAGAGTCAAGTTCCAATATTTTTTTTTATAAACTAGTATCTCTTTCCCCACAAAGTGAGAGCATAATGTTTTATAAGCAGACTCTCTTCCGTGAATAAATGTCAAGATGAGTTTTTTTGATACTTTCCATTATGGCGCAGTTACATGGGAAAGCTGAATTACTCTAGTGTTTTTCAATTTTTATTTTATTTTCTCATTTTTAAGAGGAACTTACTGGAGACTTGTTGAGAACTGCTGGCTGTCCACATTTCTCTGCATGGAGCGATAAAAATGCATTTCTCCACATATTTAATGTTTGCATATTAACTTTCATCCCAAATGTTCCCTGAGCTTCCCTGTCTATTATATATACCATGTGAGGTGGGAATTGGTAGTCAGATAAACAACTGGCTTATAGCACAATCTACCAATGTTGGAAGAGGGGAAATTTTGGCTACAAACACCTAGGACGTGCAATTTTGCTATGTCCAGCTTTGGTATGAAAGTTCCATATTACTGTTATAGTCCTTTGAGGAAGCAATTTATAGTCCTAATTAGGGCTATTTGACAGCCACTGGGTGGCAATGAATGTTTGCAAAGTGCTGATGGAGCCATGTTACCCTTTTTTTAGGTTAATATCAAATTGTTAAAAGATGGTTCTTTTAATTATGTATTTTTAGTTTTTGTGCTACTCAGTTGTCTTGTTGAAAGTAAAACAGGATATATGTGGTGTCTGTTTACCTCTGTTGCAAAGTGGCTCTCACACAAGTTTGTCTGAGAGAATCTATTAGAGAATATTTTTGGTTTGTCTTTGTTTACATTAGGGTGCCTGGAGAAAAAAAAGGTGCTGATACTGCAGTTATTCATGAAATATCAAATAGCTCTGCAGCGAGGGGTGGGTTTCTCTGTGCTACTAGAGCTTCAAATGATTTCTGCTTATTAACTTAAAAGCTTCTGAATAAGTGCAGCAGAATTTCTATTGCAACTCAATTATTTTGGTGTTAGTTTTCTGTAACTTTAAAAATAATTATGTTAAAAGAATATTAAGTCAAAGTCAAGCACTCACAAGTTAGGAAATGCCAGAAGTGAGGGTGCCTGTGCAACCTTCATTAGGACCTCTTTTGCATATGCATTATGATGCAATCTTTAACTACATGATCACATAGCAGGTGCTTAGCACCCACCGGCAGCCAAGCTTCCCCCAGTGCCTTCCACCTGCCGACAGCCCCACTGATCAACTCCTCCACCTCCCTTCCAGTGCTGAACAGTATTGCTCTGAGTATTCAGTATTTGTGATTGGTCACTTTAGTAATATATAATACTGTTTCTGCTTCCTGATTCAATGAACGAAGATTTTATGAGGAGGAGGAGGAGGGTTTGAATAGTTACTGACAGTGCAAAAACATCCATGTGAGTATTCATGACACTTTTGCTCTCTGCAAATATTTTTGGGTAATATGTTTGCAGAAAGTGAATAAAGGGGTGGTGAATATTGTCAGAACAAATTTGTGGTTTTATTCAAATGTTTGTGAACACTTTTTTCACATAATCCCCCAGTTCTACACCTACTGTTTGGAAGAATACTACAAATGCCGGGAGAGAGTGCTATTTAAAAAGAAATACAGTGGGGCTCTATTTTTAATGACAGTCTCAAAAGGACATCCACAACCTTTATTAAATAGGGGTTGGTAAAACTGGGGACATATGAACAAAGGCGTTTTTGTTCCGTACAGTACTGCCTGTTAATTTTAAATGTTTAGTGAAACTGACATTCAAATGTGTGAGTGTATTTGTGTGACTAAAACTAAAATTTATAAATGTTAACATTAAAAACCGAGTGTACTTGGTAATTCACTGAAGAATGCTTTCTAGGGCCAGAGGGGACACAGTCATTTTGTATAAAATCGGGATTCTATTGTACAATTTTCTCTTGGTTCATCTCTGTGCAGATTCATTTAAAAAAAAAATTGACATTGCTGAATTAGGAGCAAATGCTGCGGAACAGTCATAATATATTGTGCTGCTCTTTCTAAACGATAGGGTTTGCGGGGGTTTTTAATGTTGTATAGGAGCTGTTGAAATAGCACATCAATTAGGCAGACAGAAGTTTATAACTCACTGCACAGAGTAGTCATGTAAAGCCACACATGGATATTTGCAAGGACGTGTCCTCGGCCAAGATAAAGAGTTATCAGGCATAAATTATTTGTTAATTATCTTTTTCATACTGTCTCCTTTGTTGCCTCTTCTCTTTGGTTTATCTTAAGGGGGTGATGTGTTACATAGAGACCTTTTGGATAACTGCCTTTGAGTATTTCTCCTTTTTCCTCGCCACATTTTTCTCCATTGTTGTTATAGGAGCTTTTCTGTGTAGTTTATCATTTGAGCCTGAGCCTGAATGTTGTGATTTATTGAAGTGTTTCAGCCTGCTGCTTTTTTTAAAAAAAGTAAAAGTTTGTAAAAATATAAGAGGGGAAAAAACCAAAATGGGTTTGTATAGCTTTCTAAGCAGGAAGTCTGCTTTATTGCTTTTCTTCTCATTTTTGTCTAGAGGTTGGGAATAAACAAGACCGATCCAGGCACTTTAACAGCAGATGAGATTAATAAATTTGTACGCCTTGATATTGACCCATCTACTATAACATGGCAAAGAGGTAAGTATTAACGGTCAATAAGGCCTCACTTCAGCAAGGTACTTAATCCCTCTGCCTGTAAGCCAAGTGCCTAGGTTACCAAAGATTCATCTGGATGGAGCTGAAGAGGAAGACCGGGAACTATCTAAAAATGACCTAAAACAACATTTATGTTTAAATTTAAAGTCAATTACACCTCTACCCCGATATAACGCTGTCCTCGGGAGCCAAAAAATCCCACCCCCTCCGGAGCACTGCTTTACCGTGTTATATCCAAATTCGTGTTATATCGGGTCGTGTTGTATCAGGGTAGAGGTGTACATTGCTGTGCTAGATTAAGCAGGTGCTGCACATCATTGGAAAGCAGGAAATCTCCTTTTTTCAGTAGTAAAGTGGTATAAAGCTCCCAGTTTTACCCTTGGTGGATTAGGAGATAATAGATCTTAAATCTGTCACTGACTCAGGATTAAACCTGGTTGTTTTGGGTAAGAAGGAAGAAACATTTGTTTGGCAGGTTGATTTTTTAGAAATGGCAACTGTTTGAAATGGCAACTCGTGGGATTGAAATATTGAAATAAACCCTGGAGGAGCTGTATTAGTGAGCAGATGAACTGGTCAAAAGCTCAAAAGAAATATGTTTAGCATATGACCCTGTAACTTATCACATGACCCTACAATTTACCACATGGATATTACCTCCACTTATTATGTTCTGTTTAGATTTTTATACCATGCCATTCGCCATGGCATCTAAACATCTATAGTGTATGTTTTATATCAAATATCATGTATAGAACAAAGATGGATTTACTATGGAGAGATAGAGCCGTAAATTGTTCCTGTATTGTAGTGAGCTATCAGGTTTTATAAATTGATTATTTTGTTGGACTTAATGCTAAAAGGTGATCAGTAGGAGTTGGGGGCTTTTGACACCTTGCAGGATAAATCCCATAATAAATACGTGCAAGGAGTTGAGGGTGGTTTGGCAACCTCAACTCTAACTATCCTAATTCTTTTAGTCATGACAGTAGCTTTACATTGGATTTTTTTTTTAAAATATGCTGTCTTTCTTTTTAGAGGAAGTTCCCACGGCCACCAGCCAATGCTTGCTCTCCTCCTCCTTGCTCTCTGGTGCTGGTAGTAATCACTCTGTCTCTCCTTGTCCTCACCCATTTAAAAAAATATTTAAAAGGTGCTGTTCACCCCTCAGTGAGATCCCCCTCGCTGTCACTCTGAACCATGTTGGTAATGCTTGTGCTTTCCAGCAGCTTTTGGCTCTTTAGGGTCACCAGTGAGCTGCTGGGTTCCCATTTAGGTTTTTACTTTTATTTAGCACCAAACCAGCCGGATTAACCTTTTTTTAACAGATTTGATAAAAGATGTGCCTGGTTGAGACAGTATGTGCTGTATTTGAACATTAAGGCTCCATTCATGCAGTGAGCTGTGAGTGGGTGGGCCCACTCACCCAGGTAGAATTGTGGCTTAAATGACATGGATCCCCAGTAGAAATGCAGATGAACCCTAAATGTAATGCTACTATAATCAAACCAGAAACCTTGGTTTGGTTTAGGTGGGTTACCATTTTTTCTAAAGAAAATGCTAGACTTTCTCTTTATCCAATGTCCTTTAAAATACAAGCTTTATCCACTAATGGCTTTAGTTTCATTAGAATTGTCTTAATCTATGCGAAAATTGCTTTTAATATTAATAAGGCATTGTAGAATCATGGAAATGTAGGGGTGGAAGGGACCTCGAGAAGTCATTGCATTCTAGCATTTGGGCCATGTGCTGATTCTCGAGATACTAAGAGCAAAGGCTTTGCTTTAAGCTCATGAAAATGAGTTATCAGCGCTTTGACCATTGCAATCCTCTCTTTGCATCCCTTTCGCTGGCTCCCTCTTTTCTGTATCAAACATAAGCTACTTCACTTTCAAGACCCTTCATGATCTATCCCCACCCTACCTGGCTTGATGCAAGTAATTTAAAATAGGGAAGGCTTCATTTCTTGGAAGATAAGATTAGGGTGGTAACTAGATCAGCAGATTGAAAATGGAATGTTTTGTTTGCTAAGATAGTAAATGGGTCGGTAAGGTAAAAGACTATGTCTGAGCTAGCTAAGATAAGAGGGAGAAAATCCAGGGAACCATTTACTAAAAAAAAAGATAATGGACAAGAGAAATCAGGAGCGTAAAGCCTGAGGTAAAGAGTAAAATTGAACAGAGCATACGTGCTGTGGCAGGATTGATTCCTAGAAAGTGATCAAGCCAATCCCAAAAGGTCATCTTTCACCTCCTATCAGTCCATGATGTCAGCCTCCTTCACCCACTTGTTGAATTTTCAATCAAGCACTTTCATGCTTTCTCCCATGTTGCTCTTCACGCTTGGGAGAAGCTCCCCATAAACATCTGCAGAACTCTCCTTAAAACTTTTTTGCCAGGAGGCCTATAAAAAACATGACAGTGATTAGGCTGCTGGTGAGCTGAGATCACTGCCTGTCTTGCTGACCAGTATTATCTCATTGTTTCCATGTGCTTCCCCGTGTCTCTGTCTCTTGTCTTATATGTCGTATGTCAGCTCTTTGGGGCAAGCACAGCCTTTTTATTCTGTTTGTACGGCACTTAGCACAGTGGGGTCTTCGCTTATGAGCAGCGCTCACAGGCCACAGTTGACTATAAATAACAAATAGCACACAAAGAATATTTTCCCTAACAAATCTTTAACGAAAGGATACTGATGTACTTCTGGGAATTTCTAGCAAAAGCTAAAAATAAAACTTAGATTTTGAGTGATATTAAATTGTATATCAAAGTTCTTGTAAATATTCAGTCCATGAGACCCGATGCAATGAATATGGTAATTAGCCATCATGAGTGTGGTTTGTTATAGAATATGTAACTGATGCTGAGTCTGAATCTCTTAGGTAAAAAGGATACAAGGTTCATATAGTTGTAGTATCTCTTTTGTGCATGGTTGGCTTTTTAGTTGGTAAGGAATTAGAAAAATAGTTGGGTGGTTCTTCATTTTGACTTCAAATAAGAAACAAGAAAGATTAATTTGATGTCTCTTTCTTGTTAACAAGACAGCCAGAAAGGATAGTATAAATACAATGACGTTCTCAAGAGCCATCTGTATTTTATGCCATTTGCCATTTCCGATAATGCTGCCTTAGTTGTATGTAATTTAATTATTTTGTTCTCAGAATGTAAGGATTCTGATAGGCAGAAACCAAACTGAATAAAAATCAACCCTATCTGTTGTATTCCTTGTGCTTAAAAGAAGCAGCTAAGTGGGAATCAGTGTAGACTAGCACAGAGGATATTATAAATTTTTTAAAAAGTGGTATGCCTCAAAAAAAGGATGCTGAGTAGAGGTCCCAGTTTAATTCCCAGGGGTACCCAAATGGTAACAGTAAATTCAAAGGCACTTTTAGTGGAACTCTGCAGGGACCTATACCTGGCTAAATACCAAAGGCATTACTCCACCACTATGAACGCCTACCTCCACACTAACTTGCTGGTCTCTTCACAGGAGGAGCTCTTTCAGATTAGTGGGCCCTTCCTTTTGGTGCTCAAAAACGCATGCTTGAAGTTAAGTTTGCTTCAGCATAAATTTAAATAAAGATGGGAGAGAGGATCCATGAAATGGATTTGGCTGCACTTTGAGTATTGTGAAGACATTTCTCAGTTAAGAGCTCAGTGGGTATTCAAATAAGGGTTAAGTACGTTAGATAAATGTTGCTTGGGCTTGGCAATTGGAAAAGGCTTTCTGCCAAATGGTGTCAGATAGACATGGAAGTAAAATAGGAAATGCAGAAAACTACATATTGAGATGCAGAAAAATGACATGGTGTGGAATTTCTTGGGGCCTAATTTGCTAATGTAATGATGTTTTTGAAGGGGAAGGGCTCAAGTTAAAGGTACATTTACAACATGGGAATACTTATGTGGCCATCTTGTAGTCTAAAAATCTATTCTTAAAACCTTGTCATGAAGAGGTGTGCAGTGGGTGCATCTGGAATGGTGCCGATCCACTAAAACAGGCTTTTGTTACACCTGTGGATGGAGATTAAGATTTTGCTGTAGTAGCTAAACAGAGGGATTCCAGTAAGATCTTATTAGCTCCCAACAGAAGATTACTCTACCAAAGAAGTTACAGTTGAGACATTTCAGACTGGCATTTAAGAGTGTAAAAGCTAGTATATCTCAGGCTCCTCTTTCCTAGCTATGTGCACTATTGCAAAGTGAATCTAGATGTAGAAGTATGCTCAACTGGGTACAAAGGCATATACTGCAAAAATAATGTATTCTTATATCAGGTGTATGGGGAGAGTAACGAGATGGCTGATTCTCTGTCAATGTAAATGTTTCATTTTTCTTCTTTCCTCTGTTTCCCCCCACTTTCTTTCCAGTATTGGATACAAATGACCGATTCCTGCGAAAAATAACAATTGGGCAGGCAAATACAGAGAAGGGATTTTTCCGACAGGTATGTACCATTATATACTATATGTTGTTGTTTTTCTGGGCGGGATTTGTTTTCAAGCATGAGAAATATTTGCTGTTCTACAATCCTTTCAATAAATTATTTAGGATTAAGTTGCCAAAGTCTAATTGTTATATGTATTTGTAGTATCCTAGCAATGAAACTGGATGCACTAATGAGTAATTCAGCATCATGTCATAGAAACTGAAATCAATGTGTACTGCATAGTGTTTCACAAGTAGTTTAAGAAATTTGTAATTATCTGTAATCTGTAACTCTTAGAGCCTCAACTTTATTGCCCATATATATTTAATGCAATTAACTAATTTATGTAACATCTTTTCTTTTTGTATTTTGTGCCCTGCTTAAATTTTATTATCTTCTGCTTAGGTCCTTAGTTTATTTTTGTTTAATGAATATTTATTTATGTATTTAATTTAATTTAAATGTGAAAAAGGGTGGTTCAACTACAAAAGCAGTTTCTCCTCCCTTGGTGTTCACACCTCAATTGCTAGAAGAGGGCCTCATCCTCCCTGATTGAACTAACCTCGTTATCTCTAGACTGATTCTTGCCTGCATATTTATACCTGCCTCTGGAAACTTCCACTACATGCATCTGATGAAGTGGGTATTCACTCACGAAAGCTTATGTATGTTCCAATACGTCTGTTAGTCTATAAGGTGCCACAGGACTCTTTGTCGCTTTTTACAGATCCGGACTAACACAGCTACCCCTCTGATTCTAAACATTTCTAGAGGGTTTAGTGGTGATAATAGTCTTCCCACACAACATAAGAAGTTAATGACTTAAAAATTAGCTTGATTTGAGAGTACTAAGTATATACACAATAATGAATCAAATTGGAAATTGGTGAAAATGTTCCTTGCAAATATTCCATAGGCAACAGTTAATTCTTTAGTTTCAAGCATCCTTCATGTGTAGGGCTTGTCCCACTATTATTCCAAGAAAGTTAGTGGTAAGTATTTTTTCAATACTATCCCAACAATTTATTAAAAGCATGACATTGTTAACATTAGTGAACCAAGTCAGATATGACATACTGTGCTCAGTGCTGTTTAATGCACAGCTTGGTTGAATAGAGTGTCATGAGAATTAGAACAAGGAAGTGAATAAATGGGCAAATAGTGGGAGGAGAACACAGGATCAAATTGACAGAGGATTAAAATAATTTTTAAAAATAACTAAAATCCATACACCTCAGAGCAAGGTTTTTGGGGGCCAACAAGTATAAATCAGGAGGGTTTATCCAGATGGATCCATCAGATTATATTTGATGTTTATGGATTAGGGCACCAGCACAAATGAAAACAGGAGGAAGGGGAAAGCAGAAATAGCAAATGAATACCTACAAATTGATTGGACCATAACATCATCTTAATTGCTTTTAGCACATTGGCATTCCTTCCCACATCTCATTTGTTTTGTCTGTTAGTATTGTAAACTGTTCAGGGCTGGGAACCTGGCTAACTTTCTGTTCTGTGAAATGCTTAGCACATTTTATGCAGCAAAGAGTCGTTCCTTCATTGCATCTGAAGAATCCATTAGTGAGCACTAATACGCAGTGTGAAATAAATGCCCATTTCATTGTGATTATTTATATTAAGGTCTCATTTAGAATCATGGCCCAGTTGTGCCAGGTTCTGTACAAACATAGAATTTGTAAAATTTAAAAGTGTGTGTAAGTGTAAGACTTCAATAGGATCTGAGTTTTGCCAACACTTTGTGCTTTTGAAAATCCCATCCTTAAGTTTCTTTCCCATTCCACAGCTGCTCTGGTTTATGAGACAGGAGGATGCAAAAGGTGCAGTACTATAAAGAAGATTTAGCACCTGTATTCAGACTGATTTTTTTTTCACCTGTTGAATTATTCAGATGATTGGGGATACAGATAAATGTTCACTTTGGATTAATACATATGTGGAAGAGACTTTCTTTTCAACACCTATCTTCTATGACATAAATAGAAAATTAAAAATTAACTGATATGATGATTGGTTCTGACTGAAATAGATCCTTTCAGCTCTTGGAAGGGATCATTTTTCTGCACTTAGATTTGGTTCAGTCATTCACTGTAATTATTAGCTCAGAGCCAGAGTCTACACTGGGGAGGGGAGAGTATGTTTTAAGTTGGGTTAGCTAACTCAGGTTAAAATAGCAGTGACCACTTGGTGACTCAGCTTTTAACTTGGTTAGCAGCTGGAGTTCAAGCCTATGAGGTTATTGGAGTCAAGCATTGACAGGTTGATAGCAAATGAAAGATGATAGGGTGGAGACTGACTCTGAAGGGCTTTGAAAGTGAATATAAACAGCTCATGTCTGATATGATAGAGAAGGGGAAGCCAGTGGAGGGATTAAAAGAGGGAGGGGTGACCTGGTCAAAGCAACAGGCTAGAAAATGATCTTTGCAACATTCTGGGTAGAGATGAGCCAGGCAAGACTCAGCTTCATGTGAGGTAGGGGACTACTCAGCATCAGGGTGTCAAACTCTGGCTCTTAAATATTGGGGATATAATACTAAAATGACAATTGAAGTGTTTTACATGAGTCTCTCTGTCCTGTATTTAACTTTGACATGTTTGACCGATGCACATTCTATCGTACTCTAACCTGGTTCTGTTGACTATAGAACGAGAATAGGTGTTGAAACTAGCTTTCACGGCAGAGCCAGAGAACCAGTTAAAACAGCACTCTGTCACCCAACAGATATATTTTATAAATAATTGGAATGTTCTTCTAGCACTTTAAAAATCAACGATACCTGTGTAGAAAGAGAGAACACAGCAGGGAGAGTGTGCATTTGAATGAACAGAGATGCTGTGATTTCCAAAGAGTACTTTGTGAATTTGGCATTGATTCTGCAATTGAATCCATGCAGGGGCAGATCCTTATATTGATACAGATCTGACTGCAAGACTGTGGCTTCTGTCAGTGCTTCATAAGCATATGAAGATATGATTCTTTGGGGTTCAACCCAGACCAGTAAGAGGTTCTGTCACTACCTGCCCTGCTGCCTTGGATGCTTTGGCTCAGAATCCTGACACCAGCAGTCTGCTCACAGCACAATAGCCTCACCCTGGTATTCAGCGGCCTGGTTACTCCTTGCAGCGTGGCATCAACACCTTCCCAGGCCCAAGTTTTCCCCAAACTGCCTGCCCTGTAGTTCAGTCCTTTTGATGCAGTGCTCACAGAACCTTATTAAGTTCTCTGCTTCTTTAAAGAGACAGTACACAGCACCGACCTATTATTTTAGCTGAGGACTTACACATGTTGTTAGCATGTAGCACTGAGGTGGTTTATAGTCAAACTAAAAATAAGTGTGTGACAGGTTCCCCCCCAGAGGTGCCACCTGAAACTGGGGTACCACTGAGCCTGCTTGACCCACCAACCTGGGCTCCCTTTACACTATACTGCTGTGACAGGCCCTCAAGCCCCTCCAGCACACACGCAGGTAGGGACACACCCAGCTGCAGCTACACACAGATGCTGAGATCAGCTGTACATGGGAAGGCTCAGCTAAGGAACTGCCCAGTTACTCAAGTGCACACCTCCTTTTGTAGGGTAAACCCAAAATTATACTGTCTTGCACTGCACAGGGAACTGTACAGCGTAAACTCATGAAATTTGCCCCCTCCCTCAATGTGGAGAGGAATATAATCAACTTTCTGCCCCAAGTTATGACTCCCCCACACACTAGTTTTAGACAAAGCAAAAATAAGTTTTTAAGTGATTATAAGGGGTAGCAAACAGATCAAAGCAGATTACCTAGCAAATAAATAAAAATGCAGTCTAAGCTTAATATACTAAAGAGATTGGATACGAGTAGAAAATTCTTACCCTAATTGTTGATTTAGGCAGTTTGCAGAGATTCTTGAGGGCAAGCTGCACTTGCTTCCACTTTAAAACCCCAGATATTCCTTTCAAAGGCTAGAAATTCCTCTAGCCTGGGTTCAGCCCTTCTCCCCCAGTCCAGTCCTTGTTCCTCAGGTGTTTCCAGCAGTCTTCTTGGGTGGGGAGACAGTGAAGAACCACAATGATGTCACTCCCCTGCCTTAAATAGCTTTTGCCTAGGGCGGGAACCCTTTGTCTCCAAGCTTGGTCAGTGGAAAAACACTGGTATTCCAAGATGGAGTCCAGTACCAGGTGACTTGGTCACATGTCCCTGTAGGGTCACAGCAGCCATAACTCGGAGGCTGTTTGTTGCGTCCTTAGGAAGACTCCCTGGCAAGAGATTAGCAATACTCGGGCAGGAACTGTCAAGACAAGGTCTAGGGGATCTCTGCCTCTTTCACAGAAAGGCTGCCACTACTGACATGCATTTCATGAACATGTGGGGGGCTGCTGCCAGGCCGAAAGGGAGGACCGTAAACTGGTAGTGGTGCTGGTTTATGGTGAACCGTTCCTGCGGTTTACGGTCCTCCCTTTCGGCCTGGCAGCAGCCCCCCACATGTTCATGAGATGCATGTCAGTAGTGGCAGCCTTTCTGTGAAAGAGGAGAATACGAATATACCCGTACCTCGATGATTGGCTTCTCGCGGGTCGGTGAGGAGGAGGTCCATTCCCATGTGATGGTGACCCTGGACGTATTCCGCAGGCTGGGTCTTCTAGTCAATGTGCCCAAGTCCTCCTTGATACCTACGCGAAGGCTGGAGTTCATCGGGGCCGTGCTGGACTCGGTACAGGCACGAGCAAGCCTCCCGGAATCCAGATTTCTGGCCATCCAGCATCTCATAGACTCAATACTAAGGTTCCCCACAACCACGGCCAGATGCTGCCTGAAGCTCCTGGGACACATGGTGGCGTGCACTCACATATCAAGTACACTCGGCTATGGCTCAGGACTTTACAGGCATGGCTAGCCCGATCGTATCACCCAGGCAGAGATCCCCTAGACCTTGTCTTGACAGTTCCTGCCCCGAGTATTGGACTCCCTGTGATGGTGGCTCAGTCAGCCGGTAGTATGCGAGGATATCCCCTTCGCAGC